GCGGGGCTCGATCCCAGGACCCTGGGATCATGACCTGAGCCGAAGGCAGACGCTTAACAACTGAGCCACCCAGGCGTCCCAATTTATTTGTCAGAGAGAGAGCACAAGCAGGGGGAGCAGCAGGCAGTGGGAGAAGCAGGCTCCCCGCTGAGCAGGGATCCTGATGCAGGACTTGATCCCAAGGACCCTGGGATCATGACCTGAGCCAGAGGCAGATGCTTAACTGACTGAGCCACCCAGGCATCCCTCAACATGAATTTTTTTTTTAATTTTTAAAAATCTTTATTTATTTATTCATTTTTTATTTTATTTTTTTTTCTGGTGGGCAGCAGAGCAAGGTTTATCGAGGGATAGCTAAGTGACAATACAAAGCTCCCAAGGAGGGAGGGGACCCAAGAGGATTGCCCAACATGAATTATTTTTAAAATAATTGATTTATATACTTGATCTGCTTCCAAAAAGCATTTAAACTAACTTATATTAAAAAGTTCTATGTAATAATATATATAAATAGAAATGTATATAATAAAGAATCAGTGTCACATAGGAGGGGAAGGAAACAAATTTTTCCTATACTGATTAGCATTAACTTGGGACTGAACTCTGTGGCTGCAAGGGCAAATAGAAAATGTAATTAATTACATAATTCTTGGAAATAACTGTTCTTAAAAAAAAAAAAACCTATCTGTGAATTTTTCACTTCCCAACCCACCATATAGTATGAGACTTCAGTAGTTTCTGAGAATATTTTGAATCTTGACAGGTTTAAATGAAATACATCTTGCCTTCAGATATAATAGGCCATCTAATTTTCATTGTTGTTTTAGATGCAGACCTCTCTGATATGAAGGACAGCAATGAACCTTATGACTATAAATTTGTGAAATGGATGACTAAAAATAAGGTAGTATTTATTGGCGTTTGAGATACTGTCCTGTATTGTATACGAAGGATACTTACTGACATGTTTTGAACAATGTTAACTACAGGGTTGTTATATGATATTCCCTTTATGGCTATGTGGAGGATTTTAAAAACATTTTTTTCTTTTTGGAGGTTGTTGTGGATATTTAGAAGTATCTGTTTGTTTTTAACATTTATCTGTCCTAAAATTAAATTTGAATTAGAAGTAGTTTTCCTATTTTATTTTTCTGTTTATTTTTCAGAAACTATCAGCCATTCCAGTTTCAGCATTCTGTAATGCAGAGACCAAATTACAGTTTGAGAAGTTTGTGCGATTTTGCTTCATAAAAGTAAGTTCCCTGTTCTATTCAAAACCACATTTATGATGTCCTTCCTTCTGATTTATAAAGCACCTTTTTTTCTCTTGCTAGGAATGATGTGCTCATATGCAGTTTTGTTTTGTTTTTTAATTTTGGCTTGCTGCCATGAAATTAACTGCCTACCAGAACAAAACTCAACACTCTGAAGTGTTGAGTTTACTGTATTACAGCATAATTGGACTCCTTACCATGTAACAATACAATATGCAGCATGCAATAAAAAATTACTAGACATGTGAAGACATAAGAAAATGTGACCCTTGGGGCGCCTGGGTGGCTCAGTCGGTTAAGCATCTGCCTTCGGCTCAGGTCATTCAGGATCCTGGGATCGAGCCCTCCGTCGGGCCCACTGCTCAGTGTAGAGTCTGCTTCTCCCTCTCCCTCTGCCCCTCCCCCTGCTTGTGCTCTCTCTCTCTCAAATAAATAAATAAAATCTTTAAAAAAAAAAGAAAAAAGAAAATGTGACCTTTAATAAAGAAAAAAAGCAGTCAGTAGAAACAGATCACAAGGTGACCCAGATATAGGAATTAGCAGACAAGGACTTTAAAGTATGTTCAAGAAATTAAAGGAAAACATTGTCATAATGAGTGAACAAATTAAAATTATAAAAAAACCAAGTGGAAATTCAGGAACTTAAAAGTGTAATATCTGATATGAAAAATGTATGGGGCTTAACACACAGAGGATTGAGGATATCAGGAATAAAGGACCCACTTGAATTGCAGATTCATAGAATTATCCAATCTGAAAAATAGAGGGAAAAATTATTTTTGAGAAATGAACAGAGTCTTAGGTCTATGAGACAATATCAAGTGATAATACATGTAATTAGAGTACCAAAAAAGAGAGAATGTGGCAGAAAAAGTATTTTAAGAAGTAATGGCCAAAATTTCCTCATATTTTGTGAAAAGCAACTTACTTAGAGATCTAAACGTTCAGTGAAGGACAACAGGATATAAAGAAAACCACCCTAAGACACTTTACACTTGAACTGCTAAAAACCAAGGGTAATGGTAAGATCTTGAAAACAGCCAGAGAAAAACTATACTTCACATGTATATTAATTTAGCAACTTCTTATCAGAAAAAATGAAGACCAGAATACAATGAAATGACATCCTCAAAGTGCTGAAGTAAAAAATATATCAGCCCAGAATTCTTTATCCAGGAAAATAGCCTTTAAAACTGAAAATGAAGTGTGTATTCCTGACAAATAAAAGCTGAGTGAATTGCTTACCATCAGATCTATACTCAAAAAATATCTGAGGGGCACCTGGGTGGCTCAGTTGGTTAAGCGGCTGCTTTCAGCTCAGGTCATGATCTCAGGGTCCTGGGATCGACCCCTGAATCAGGCTCCCTGCTCCCTGCCTTCTTCTCCCTCTCCCTCTGCCGCTCCCCCTGCTTGTGCTCCCTCACTCTCTCTCTTTCAAGTAAATAAATAAAATCTTTAAAAAAAATCTGAATATATACATCATTGCTATTTTTAAGATGTCATTGCTACTGAAGGCAGGCTTAATAAGATCCAGAAACTCTTTTTACCAACGTATTCATCTATAAACCTAGTCAGAATGATGTAAACATTGTTTTCAACTTTGAGAGATTATCTACAACCCAGGAAGACTCGTTCAGAAGAGAATAAAAATGTTAACAACCTAAATTTAATTGACTAAAATGTAGAAGAGAGATTAAGGGCATTAATATCCTCATCTTACAGTGGATCCTAGATATAGAGGTGTATCTTTGGAAGTTATAAGCAGAACTAATAAAAGAAAAAAAAGTAACTTAAGACTTCCTGTTTTAAAATCGTAAACACTGTGCTTCCCCATTCTCTTCTTGGAAATACCAGAAACAGCTAGGAGAAAGGAAAACAGATTCACAAATTCCCAGTAAATGATGAAGAGTTGCCAAATACAGTGAAGGTAAAGGGAAGACACCTAGAAAGTCTCTTGTGTCTCCATCTCAAGTTATAAACGGTGCCAGCAGGCAACCTACTCATCTAGAACAATAGGACAATAAGTACACTGGCAGTTGGAGCCTCTCCAGACTGATTTAGCATCATGCAAGGCAGGTTAGAAACATACAGCTATATCATCTAGAACCTAGGTGGGGCAGCGTGGAAAAGAGATTCTCGTTGGGTTATAGATTTTCCCATTGACTCCTGTCATTTTTGCTCCAGTCTTTGTTGGGCGATGTGGAGGAGATAGATTCAATTGGAGGTAGCCACTTAAATTAGGTGGGAGGAAAAAAACCAACAAAACCCCTCCCCACACATCAATCATATTAAACTTTACTATGAACCAGGGAGAATTTCTGCTGTCTTCTAGTGCTACCCTGGCTCCTCACTTACACCAGTCTGCAGACACATCTTCAAATCATAGACGAAGTCAGTAGGTAGCATATTCATTATCCAGAACAACAGGAACAGTAGGTGTGCCAGCAGTAGGGGATTACAAAGGTAATTCAATCAAAAATGACTAATGAAAAGGAATCAACTACGAATCTTTAAAAATATACTACTAGGGAAAAAGGAGAAAGGTACAGGGAAAACCAAGTGTTCAGAAAGAGAATATTCAACCAGAAAAATGTTGCTATAGAGCAAATAAAATTTGATAGTTCAAATCCAAAACCTTGAGATTAAAGCAGAGATTTAAAAAGTTCAGGGAAGATAATGTCATAATATAAGAAGATGAAATGGCAGCTTGTCAGAGCTCGGGTACAAAATTGAAGGGAAAAAAAATCAAGCTATTGGTCATTGGTAGTGACATTGGAAACAGCACAGAAAACACTGAATACTTACTTCTGTAAGCATTTTAAGGATTGAGAAAAGTGAGCAAAGAAGAGTGGAGAGGAACAAAGATTTTTAAAATATTAGAAAAATTATAGATGTGGAAGACAAGTGAAATATGTAGAATCCGGGGGGGGGGGCACAAATAGAACCTGAAAATAATTTTATAGCCTTATTGAAAGAATACTTTCCATTAAAAACAAAACAAAACATAAATCTAGCAATTGAAAGGGAATGCCTTGCCTCAGGAAAGATTATCACAGAATGATTAACACGGAGATACATTGGACTTAAGAAGATAAAGAAACAATCCTTTGGCAACTACACAAAAAGACCAAAGCCTTCGTGGGGGCAGGGAAAGTGGATCCGTGTGGACACACCCCCTTCCCATCAATATTCAATTTTGGAAGATAGGGGAGCAATACCGAGAAGTCTCTAGGGAAAGTTACCATTGCTGACTCAACCTCTTGGAAAGGCTAAAAATAAAAGGGTGGCAAAACATGCCAAGAAAATGGAAATTGAAAGAAAGCAGGTGAAATTTAAGGCAAAATAGGCCAAAAAGCAGCACTTTACAATGGTTATGGGTAACATTCTCAGCAGCTCTCAAACATATGAGAGGATGTCCCACTTTAGTCATGTTACAAGAAATGAAAATTAAAACTGCAACAAAATTTCATTTTATCTATTAATTTGGAAACAAGCGAACAACTAAAAATTTCCATAAGACACTCTTAAAGAGAATGGGGGTTTAATTTGTAAAATCTCTTAGCAGTGGTTAGTTTGACCATTTCCATCCAAATGTAAATGCGCATACCTCTTAACGCAGAAATTCTAGTTCTGGGATCTTTTTCTTGTGGATTCACTTGCACGTTTTGAATGACTTGTGCTCAAGGATTTTCCATATTCATAACTCCCCTCTTTGACAGTGAAAAAAAAAAAAAACCCTCGCTCTCATCATGGAATCACTTCTTTAATCAGTCCCTCTGTATGTGCCATAGCCCCTCCAGCCACCAGCCCTGAGGCTTTGACACTTTGTACCAGGCTGCCACTGCTGTCACCCCTTGCAGACATGCCCTCCTCCAGCCCTCCAACACTGCACACCAGGCTGCCACTGTCACCCATGGCATGGAATCCTCCACCCCTCATATGCTCTGACACCCCATGCCAGTCTACCTTGGCAGATGCCTGCCCCATCCCATCTAGGTTCTAACACCCAGCACGGAGCCACCCTGACATACAGATGCTGGCTTACCCTGCTTGGACTCTGACATCCTGTTCCAGTCAACGCTGCCACTGCCATCACCAGCACCTCATGCCACCCACATCAGAAACCCTCCTCACTCCACTCGGGCTGCAACATCGTGCACCAGGCCGCCCAGGCTCCCCCTGCCCCCATATGTGGACACCTGCTTCACTCAGCCCCACCTAATGGCTTTTTGATGAAATCATTCTGTAGAGAGGGAAGAGAAAAGAAATAGAAAAAGCAGAAGAGAAAAACAAGAGCTTGGTTTTCACTGTTTATCTGTCAGTTTAATTTTATACCATGTGCTGGTATTACCTATTCAAAAAGCAAATGAATTTTATTAGTAATTATAACTGAAACATTAAAGGGAATGGGCATAGTAGTGTGAATGAACAATTTTTCCTCATTCAGAGCAGAGAATTGTGAATTTTGTCTGAAGTTGATAAATAAGGAAATAGAACCAAATGCATTATTTAGATCTTGGAGGTAACCACTAGAACTGAAATGAGAAATTGCCATAAAAGGTTGTCTTGGGGGATGGTGGGCATAGTAGGAAGGAGTAGGGAGAGGAAGAGCAGATGATTCTTATTCTGTGTGAGCCCTTCTATACTCTCTGGTATGTTTCCATAACTATATATTAATTTGATTGTGTTCCTTTTGTAGGTCTGCCTTTTCATTCTTATTTTGAAAAATTATCTTCACTTGAGATCAGATATTCACTTAAATATTCATTTAGTGCTATTATGTTTTATTTTTTTCCTACTTTACCAAAATCTGTCTTTATTTTAAAGTGAACAAATCATTAGAGTACTATCCAAAACTTAATGAATGACGGCTGTAACTTGCTCAACTTGCCTATTTTCAGTTAGGCAAATGCCAGCTAGTAGTACCATTCACCATGATTGTGTGTCAGAAAGAATCATCTTCATATTTGTAAATGTCATTTTAGGAGAAGAGAGACTGCAGATTGTAATGCTTTTAGTAAACTCGTATTTTCAGCAAACTTTTCTGAGCAGCAAGGAAAAAATTTTTTTCAAAAACCTTAGCATTGTATATAAATATTGACAGTAAACACAATAAATACCATGTAATTTTTCAAGTGGAAAGGATTTCCCCTTTATAAGTTCCTTTCCTAAAGATATTCAAATACCCCAAGTGGAGATTGAGTCTTGGTCCTTTAATCTCCCAAGCTTATAGGTGGACATCATGAGGGGTGTCAGGTCATGCGCAAAAGGGGATGCAGTGAGAGGCAAGAAAGCAAAAATAATAACTATTGATCCCAGGAGCACATCATTCAGATTTGCTGCTGACATCAGTGTCATTTATGAGTCTGGGTCTTCTTTGGCACTGCAGGCTGCTTAGGCTGCTCTAGTGGTTGTAAACAGTGAGAGTGTCCCCACTGGTGGATGTGGTTTTAGCTGGGATCAGGTTAAACTGTTCTCAGTCTGAACTGCATTTAACAGTTTGTCGATCATTTTCTTGGTGATGCTTTTTGGCCACAAGCCAGTTGTACATTTCTTTAGTGTCAGGGTAGTAGCAATAAATTTGGTAGCCAGTATCACAAAACAGTATAATGTAATGATCCGTGTCACACTTCTCTACTCCTCTAATACTGAATTCTTATGAGGTTCATTCACTTTTCCAGCCAGGCAGTAATGGGATAGAACATTATAAATAATTGGCTTGTTTGATTTGCTGCTAGGCTCCTTAAAGAGCTTGGGACCTGTGTACTAGACCACCAAGGTGAGGGAAGATCTACAGATGACATTTTCCAGTTTCTGCCCATACTCCTCCCAGAGTTGTGGCTTTATACAGGCAAGGCTTCCAATGACTCATCTCCTGAGAGGGCATGACCCCCAAATGAACACCAAGGATGGGCTAGAGCCCAACTAGGCCCGCTCAAGTTACCAGTGGTTGAAGAGCACTTGGTTCCCAAATCACTACGTGACTTTTCCTGATCCATTGACTTTGGTATTTTTTTATATTTAAATATTTACTTCATCTTGAATTTATTTAATATGTAATGAGATTATTTCATTTATTTACAGAAAGATAGTACACTGGATGCTGCTGAAGAAATCATTAAGGCATGGACTAGACAGAAGTCTTGATACAAGCGGACTGTTTCTATTAGATGACCTAATATAGAATTATTATTTAGTGCTGCCATCTCCTGATTTTGAAAACAAATATTTTGGTACCAATGAAATTTGAAGAAATATTTCCATTGTTTTCCAAAATGTTAATCCCACCGGGGTTTTTTTGTTTTGTTGTTTTTCAGTTGAAATATATGAAAACACCTACCACTACCATTTTACATCAGGCAGTGTAGCATTGTGGATAAGAATTGTGAGACCCTGGTTTATACTTAACCTCTCAGTGCTTCAGTTCCCTCATCGGGAATAAAATATAGCACCTACTTTATGACACCTGGCTGGCTCAGTGAGTAGAGCATGCAACTCTTGATCTTGAAGTCATGAATTCGAGCCCCACGTTGAGCATGGAACCTACTTTTAAAAAATAGCACCTACTTTAGATAAAGTTTATAAGGATAAAATGGATTGATAAAGCCTTAATAAACGCTCAGCTAAGGTTAGCCAGTTCTGTTTCTCCACCATCGTGTAAAACTCTTAGCCAGTTACACCCCTTTAACTCCAAGTCCTTGCTTTGTCTACCCACATGTAATTCCCTCCCCTTCGTTTACCAATGGCTTTGAACTTTGCTCACAGTTTTGCTTCTCTGTCCCAAATACCGCCATCACCCAGAGTGGCTTCAAAGTCCACATGGATTACCTAGGCTTTCAGTACTTTGACTTCACCTTTGGCGATGTTCACCTCCACTCCACTCTCCACTTCAGCCACCCACCCCCATGGGTACACCCTGAACCTTTCATCATTTAAGGCTGTGCCACCTATGAGATAATAAATTAGTCATCTCACACTGTACCCACCTATCCTTACAGTATTCTCTCGGTGTGTCTCATCTCCTCTCAAAATATCACTTCTTTAAACTCACTATAATTTCAAATACACTATTTCTCAAAAAATGGTCTATGGCCCTCTTACAGCAGAATCAGAATCCATCTATGAGAATAGATTCTGGTCTTCACCCTAGGCCTGCTGAAAATAATTTCAGGATCTGGCTCTTCCAAGGTGATTTTTATACCAACTGAATTTTGATAATCACATGGAACCTTCTATTTTATTCCCATCTGTCCCCTTATATTTTCCCCGCCCAGCTTCAATTGCATCATCTATCACTTCAGCCAAGACACTTTTGCTACCCTGAATAATTTGCCCATTGTTCTGTCTCACCTAACTGGTCAAAAAAACCCCAGAACTCCACCCTGGGATTAAAATGCCATGCTTATACTGGGCTGCTGAGCACTGCTGTCACAAAATACACAATTGTGCAGATACCAACAACCATGAATGCACGTCATTAACCTTAACTAGGTTTAATCCTTCCATGATACCCTCATGAGATTTCTCTACCTTTTACCACAGCAGCAATTCTTAATACTCTCCTGTTCACCATAAAAATATCCATCCTCCTCGGGAGACGAACCATGAGAGACTATGGACTCTGAGAAACAAACTGAGGGTTCTAGAGGGGAGGGGGGTGGGGGGATGGGTTAGCCTGGTGATGGGTATTAAAGAGGGCACATACTGAATGGAGCACTGGGTGTTATACACAAACAATGAATCATGGAACACTACATCAAAAACTAATGGTGTAATGTATGGTGACTAACATAACATAATAAAATAAATTTAAAAAAATAAGATTAAAAAAAAATATCCAACCTCCTTTCTCTCTGCATTTCAAAGCCCACCATGACCAGCATAATTAAATCACAGCTAATGACCTCATCTCCCACTTCTATGAAAAACAAAATGTAAAAGCCGATGCAACCAGACCAGCACTGCCAACTGAAATCCTACCAAAAGACCTATGACCTATCTGCGCCAGCATTCATCCTTAATTCATTTCATCCAGGGGTGTGGGGCAGAGTGGGGAGGATTGGTAGGAAGGCAGAACCAGGTCCAGTCATGCAGAAGGAAACCCAGGACCTAAGAGCCAACTACTGCATAGCAGTAGAAATCCCATGTATAATTTTTAGCCTGTCCACTCCTGCTGAGGACTTGATACAGTTTTTACCAGGCTTTAAATCTGTCTTTGCAGTCCTAGACTTGTCCAGTGCTAATCCTACCACCATTTCTTCTCACATTCTCACTTGGTTCAGTCCATTCTCTTGTATCTTCAGCCTCTACTGGCTCCCTTCCTCAGCAGTGAGACATGTCCAAATTTCTCTCATGTTAGAAAATCCTTTCCTTAATGCTATCTACTACCCTATTATTTCTTCCTCTCCAGGGCAAAATTTCTTCCTTCTTTCCTCCTTCCCTCCCTCCCCTCTTCCTTCCTTTGTTCCTTCCTTTAACAAATATTCATTGAACTCATACTCTGTGCCAGACACTATTGTGAGTCTGTTTCTTGGTTTGTCTCTCTCCCTCTCTTTTCCCTTTCTCATTTGTTTTGTTTCTTAAATTCCACATATGAGTGAAATCATATGGTATTTGTCTTTCTCTGACTTATTTTGCTTAGCAGTATACTCTCTGGCTCATCCATGTCATTGCAAATGACAAGATTTCATTCTTTTTTTATGGCTGAGTCATATTCCATCTTCTTTATTCAATCACCTATCAGTGGACACTTGGGCTGCTTCCATAGTTTGGCTATTGTAAATAATGCTTCAGTAAACATATCCAATAAACATATATCCTTTCAGATTAGTGTCTTTGTGTTCTTTGGGTAAATGCCCAGTAGTGTGGTTACTGGGTGATAGGGTAGTTCTATTTTTAATTTTTTGAGAAACCTCCATACTATTTTCCAGAGTGGCTGCACCGGTCTGCATTCCCACCAACAGTGCACAAGGATTCCTTTTTCTCCACATCCTCACTGACACTTGTTGCGTTTTTTATTTTAGCCATTCTGACAGGTGTGAGGTGGTATCTCATTGTGGTTTTGATTTGTATTTCCCTGATGATGAGTGATATCAAGCATCTTTTCAGGTGTCTGTTGGCCATCTGGATGTCTTCTTTGGAGAAATGTCTGTTCATGTCTTTTGCCCATTTTTTAATTGGATTATTCATTTTGGGGGTGTTGAGTTGTATCAATTTGTTATTTGGAATGCTAACCCTTTATCAGATATGTCATTTGCAAATATCTTCTCCCATTCAGTAGGTTGTCTTTTAGTTTAGTTGATTGTTTCCTTTGTTGTGCAGAAGCTTTTTATTTTGGTGTAGTCCCAGTAGTTTATTTTTGCTTTTGTTTCCTTTGTCTCAGGAGACCTACCTCAAAAAATGTTGCTGTGGCCCATATCAGAAAAATTACTGCCTGTGCTCTCTTCTAGGGTTTTTATGGTTTCAGGTCTCACAATGAGGTCTTTAATCCATTTTGAGTTTATTTTTATGTATGGTGTAGAAAGTGGTCCAAATTCATTCTTTTGCATATAGGTGTCCAGTTTTCCCAGCACCATTTGTTGAAGAGACTTTCTTTTTCCCATTGCATATTCTTGCCTCTCTTGTTGAAGATTAATTGACCATATAATCATGGATTTGTTTCTGGGCTTTCTATCCTGTTCCATAGATCTGTGTGTCTGTTTTTGTGCCAGTACCATAATGTTTTGATTACTATAGATTTATAGTATAACTTGAAATATGAAATTATGATACCTCCAATTTTGTTTTCCTTTTTCAAGATTGTTTTGGCTATTTGGAGTCTTTTGTGGTTCCATACAAATTTTAGGATTATTTGTTCTAGTACTGTGAAAAATGTTGGTATATTGATATGGATTGCATTAAATCTGTAGATCGCTTTGGGCAGTATGGACAATTTAATGATATTTGTTTTTCCAATCCATGAGCATGGAATATCTTTCCATTTGTTTGTGTCATCTTCAGTTTCTTTCATCAATGTTTTCTAGTTTTCAGAGTACAGGTCTTTCTCCTCCTTGTTTAATTTTATTCCTAGATTTTTTATCCTTTTTGGTGCAGTTGCAAATGGGATTGCTTTCTTAATTTCTCTTTCTGTTGCTTCATTAGTAGTGTATAGAAATGCAACAGATTTCTGTGAGCTGACTTTGTATCCTGTGATCTTACTGAATGTTAAACTTATACATGGAAGTTGTATGAAGAAAAGAAGTAGAGCAGGATAGAGGAGAATGAAAGTGTTAGGGAAGAAATTTGGAATGTTAAACACTTGATCAGGTAGGTCTTATGGAGGGGGTATGGAGGCAGACTTAGAGCAGAGGAGGGAGGGAGCATTGTGGAGATCTTGAGGAGGAACATTCTAGCCAGAAGGAATAGCCAGTGCAAAGATTCTGTGAAGGAGGGTGTACTCAGCATGTTTAATGGGTACCAAGAGTCTGGTATGGCTGGATGTAATGACCAAGGCTCAAAGTAGTGAGTGTGAGGTCAAAGAAGTAATATAGTATAAGGATAGTGTTAGGATAATGGTTTAATCCAGATATGCCACTTTATACTTAATTTTTAACATGTAAAATAATGTTTATTGCAGCATTGTTTGTAATTATGCCAAACTGAGAACAACCAAAGTGTTCATCAACAGTCAATATTTGGGGGGTATATTAATAAAATGGAATAGCATACAGCAATGAAAATTCACAACCTACAGCTGAACACGTGAATGAATTTCATCAACACTGTTTTCATAGGGTTTCTTCACAGGATCTTTAAAGAATAAGCTGGAGTTCTCAGGAGACATAGTGTTCTATAATACTAGAATCTGGTACTATGATCATTGAAGCCTCAAATGCCCACCCCAACATTTGGGGTTCTACAATTTCTGTGGCCCCTGGAGGGCTTCCATGTTTTGGTCCAATAGTCAGGCCTAGGATTTGTTCACAGCAAACTCCTTGTCTCAGTGAACCAAGGGATAGAGGTTACCATCCTTTCCAATTGGCTGGGATGAGGAGAGTTGGCTTGGGGTGGAGGGAGGCATGGATTTTAAACATGGGGTTTGTGCATGAATAGTGTAATATTGGACCAAGGAAAATTTTAAAGTCTGGTCTAACATCTCCAGGAATTTAGAAGTCAAGGCCAGACCTGAGGCTTCCAGATGCATAATTAGATATCCAGGTCTAACCGTGGTTAGAGATACACTGCTGCAGTGTGAAACCCAAAAGGGGTTGGACAGAAGGGTCTGCAAGGACCTAAGA